AAATGTTATTGAATAGGTTAATGCTGTTGTAATGAAATGCTTCTTCTAATTAAAAAAAAAAAAGTCTCAACTCGATGCTAAGTTTCTGAAGACCTGCTGTTCTTGTTGTTCTTTTAATAATGAGACATCTGAACCTTGCTCACTTCTGAGTGGGTACCTGTGCTGGATAGCTTTAGTTGTCAACTTGATACACCCAAGTAGAGGGAGCCTCAGCTGGTGAATTGCCTCCATTAGACTGGCCTGTGGCCATGTCTGTGGGACATCTTGATTACTGAGTGATGTAAGAGGGCCCAGCCCACTGTGGATGGTGTCACCCCTGGGCAGGTGGGCCTATGTTGTATAAGAAATCAGGTTGAGCAGGGGTCAGGAAAGCAAGCCAGTAAGCAGCGTTCCTCCATGGCCTGTGCTCCAGCCCCTGCCTCCAGGTTCCTGTCCTGAGTTCCTACATTGGGCTCCCTGATGAACTATTACCCAGGAAATGTAAGCCAAATAAATCCTTTCCTCCCCAAGTTGGTATTGGTCAGAGTGTTTTGTCAGAGAGACAAAGCTAGAACAGCACCTTTACAGGCAGTGAGAATTTCGATGCTGTTGACCCAACTGAGCCTACTGCAGTGGTGGCACTGGAGAATAAGTGAGGGATATCTCACTGTAGAAGGCTTCCATAACGGACATGAGTCAAAGCACTGGGAAATTTTGAAGGGAACCAAACACTAAAGTCAGCACACAGTGAGAGGGGGGTAGGTGGGCAGTGAAGGTCAGGAATACCATTAAAGAAGCACACACATACATGAACGTCACATGGTTTTCTAAAATAACATGCTAAGAGGGGAGATTGTAATTTTTCCAGCCAAAGTAATATGTTCCTCAAACAATAAAGATTAATTAAAGAAAACACATGAGTTTGTTATATTGCTCAAATAATGTTTAGTTTGATCCAAAATTAAGTCAAAATTTGATTATGACAAACAGACCTAGGATTCAAAAAAGAATAGAAATAAATAAACACGAGCTTATGGTGTTGCTAATAAAGTGGGGTTTGAAAGAAAAGACAAGTTTATACTATCAACAAAATGTGCTTTATTCAGATAGTGGCAGAACTCCATGTCAAGGTGAAAGACAGCAACGAACAGTGGCACTGAGAGACAGCTGCCGCTCTTCCTTCTGAATGTCTGGGATGCTCCAAACACTGAGGTGGGATCATTCTCAGACAGCTCCTTGGTAGCAAAAGGAGAACAGCCTCAGGAAAATGTCTTTCCCCATGGGAGCATCACAGGCAGATTAAAGGATAAAGAGTGGAGAAGATCTGCATCCATGACAGGCTTTGAAGGGAAGGTGAAGGTGTTGCTATAGAAGCAGACGAGCCTATAGGGATCACTGCAGGCAGATTAAAGGATAAAGGGTAGAGAAGAATCTTCAGGATCTTTGACAGGCTTTGGAGGGAAGATGGTGTTGCTATGGAAGTGATGAAATCATGTTCTTTATCTTCTCTTGGTCCTGATGACTGCTGAATGCCTTAGTTGCTCTTGGGTGGACACTTCTGCTGGCAGGGTGGAGGAGGTTGCACAGGAGGGCATTTCTGCTGGCATGGCTGAGGGGGGCATGGCTCAGGGCACTTTGGGGGAGGACAGGGCTCAGGGCACTTTGGGGGTGGACAGGGCTCAGGGCACTTTGGGGGAGGACAGGGCTCAGGGCACTTTGGGGGAGGACAGGGCTCAGGGCACTTTGGGGGTGGGCACACAGGAGGAGGCTGGCAGGGCTGCTTGCACTGCTGCTGTTGGTAAGACATCTTGCTGGGTTCTAGGAATCTGAAAGAAATTACAAGATTGTTCACAAGAGATCACGCTCACAAAGTTCAAGTTTTTTGAACCCCAAGTGTTTCACTGTGCATGCACTTTAACCTCTAGCTGCTATATTAAGATTTGTTCGCTTTTTTCTTTATGTGAGCAATTAGTTTTATTAACCTGAGGAAATCCTACTTTTATTTTGTCTTTTTTTCCTTAGAAGATGTCTCTAGTTCTAAAAACCAAGGAATATTTGTTGCACAAAAGAATATCTTCAAGAGAGTCTCGGGTTCAAGTCTGAAACTCTGAGCGATTTTGCTAGCAGTTACTATCAACTCAAACCTCCCTCTTACCTTGCTGTCCCATATGGATGCCAAATATCTATCACACAAAAGCAAAAGCAAACTAATTCAGTGAATTGCTGCATTCCGTTTCTGACTAGTAAGTCACATTCATCCCACAGTTTCAGTTTGGTCCCATCACACTTATTCTTTCCAAATTAAACTCAACACCCGAGAATATGAAAAAGACAGACCAACTCAGAAATCAGACTCACGTGGTTTTCTAGAGCAGTCCAGGATTTAACCACCAGGAATGCTGCAGTCATGTGCTGAGCACCTTTTTATAGGACTGGCTGCCCCACCCAGCCGGAAGTATAACTGGCTGACAGTGGACAGGGCCAACGATTTCCTAACAAGATGCAAATCCATCCATAACTTGCTTAACCAGGACTCTAGAATAGGAAATATTTAGTTCCTAGACATCATCACAGGTTAAGTGCTGTGACTCAGAGAACTCTCAGTTTCAGAAAATTCCAGCAGTTGGAAAAGTTGGAGATTCTGTAAATAGTTATCAAAATTCTCTTAATTTACAATATACCTTTCTGTTTTTTTCCTTTCCTGGATCTAAAAGCTTCAAGTCACCTATACACTCTGCTTCAGCTGTTTGTGATACGTAGATTTTTTTTTTTCTTCAAAGAGGAGGAAACCAGAGGAAACCCAAGTTCTGATCCCAGTTCTATCATTGACAGACCTACATAAATAATTTCTCCTCGCAGATTTAAATCCTTCTCTATAAACAAGGAAAATTACACCTGCCTACCAGAGTCGGTACTGACAGCATTCAGCCATCCTGTGCCCTGTTCAAGGCTGAAATTTTCTACCCGTATTTCTTTCATCCGTGGAGGCCCTGATTTGACCCACAGTCCTTGCTCCTCGTAGTGTGACTTCTTCCCACTCATGGCAGTACTGCTCTCCCAGGACAGACTCTGAGCTGAGTGCAGCCCAGTCTCCTTAGTAAGTTTTCTCCTAACTTTCTTCAGGGATGTGTACTTGGGACCTTTCAATTTTTACCAGTCTTTGCTTAATCTTCACATGTAGAAAAAAAGGAAGAAGAGACAAAACCACGAGGATTCATTCTATGTTTACTTAGTGTGTCACACATTTTTGGTCCCTTCTGAGATATACACTTAGAGCAACACATGTAAATGATTCAGAGGAGTTTGAGGAGAAAAGAGATTCAGAGCATCGAAGACTGAAATGGAGGAGTAGGGACAGGAATTACTTCACTCCAATATGCAGGTTTCCTTTCATTCCTTGAACAAACAGGTCTTTAAGTCTTTGAAGGGGGTGCCTTAAAATCTATTTTCATGGAGCTTTACCATGTCTCCCTAAGCCCTCCATCCCTTCCACCTACTCTACCATCTTCTCACTACCACATGAACCAAACTGCAGAGACTGAGACCAGGTGCCCCATCACTTGTGTAATTTTGCAGCTATTGCTCAATAAAGACTTGTTCTCAAGTCAAAGCATTTGGGGGCCTAGTCCTTACACATCTTATGAGTCGACTTGTAATCAGGGGCCTGAAGGAAATAGCATATTAAATATCTAATATCTAAGTGATGTTGCTAGAATCTTCTTGTCTTGATCAAGTGATGAGGAAATTTTCCAGGAATGTTATTTTTCTAATTGGTGGAGAAAGAACAAGAGAATGAGGAGGAGGCAGCAACATCTCTACACTAGTCAGTTCTGGGAAGTGCACGAGCCCTGAATCACCTGCAGTCAAACAGGAAGTGTTCCAAGACTGTCAATGCTTCTGACAGGAAAGGTTTGGTCATGAAAGTCACTGGCCATGTCCCTACAGGGAAAGACACCCCTTCAGCACCTGAGGCCAGGTACTCCCAAATGACATCATCCCTGGATGGGTCACACATGCTAGTACACATACCGGGGTAAAGTCAAGGGCCTTTACTCAGCAGGTCACTTACTCTTCCCCATGGCCTCACATCTCATGAGGATTTCTGGTGGAGAAACTGCCATTGTCTTCAGTTGTGGACTCACAAATGTGTCCACCAGGTTCTGATCGATCATTCCAAACCCACGGTCACACAGATGGCACTAGTTAAGCTCAGAAGGTCTCAAAAATTCTAAGAAGACATGAATGTGAGAAAGGGACTTTTAGAGTATAGGGGTAGAAGGGATATTAGAGATGATGGGCATTTACATCAATCCCAATGCACTTCATACTTGTATAAAGTTGTCAAAGACATACAATAATAATTAAAATTTGGCTATTGAGATCATAGGGCCTAGGGAGGAGCTTCATACTAATATCTTGCTAAATGAACATATATCCAAAGTGTCTTCTCAATATTTATGTCTAGACTCTAAGATCAGTGCTGCTCTTAGCCTCAACCAGAGATGCTTGCCTTGCAGCAGGTGACAGTTAAAACAGAAACCCAAAATTGGTCAAAGCCCAGATAATAACTGACTCTAGCAAAGTATACCCTCCCCAGCTGATCCCACCCCTGGCTTGTCCTCAACGCCCCCTCCTGATCTGCCTGCCAGACACCTGCCTACTACCCTGTCTTGGGCCTAAGTCCACTCTTGATCCTCCTGCCTCAGATGTCTGGGCTAACAGCCTAGACCCCAACCACTGCATCCCACACCAACCTTAACTCTGTGATCCCCTCCTGACCTTCTTGACTGAGGCCTCCTCACTAGCCTGACAGAACCCAGCTACTGGACCCCCAGCCTTGAATTTCCTTCACCCAGCCAGAGAGCACTTCACTCATTGGCTTGAAAGCATCCTGTCTCACCAATAAAAACATCAAATATGAGAACTTGAGCACCACCAACTATTCATAACTGAGCAAAAAGCAGTTAAGCAGCATCAGCAATAAAAACAGAATGAAATTCCAACTAAACAAAGGCAGACTAGAATTTCATACAGACACACAGCCAACAAAAAAAACATATGCCCAACCACAATGCAAAAACAAAAATAATATGAAAAACCAAGAACACAGCCTACCAGTCCTACAAAAGTGTGCTACAATGAGAACCACCCAGAGGAATCCCAGGGCACAGAATTTAAAAGAACAACGTAAACATGATCAAAGAACTTAAAGAACACACAGACAACTCAAAGACCTCAGAGAGGACAGGAATAAACTCCTGTCCGAAGCTCAAGAAAATACAAATATATGCTGGAATGAAATGACAAAAACAATGCAGGACTTTGAAAAGTGAACTTACAAAAGAGATCAAAATATTGAAGAAAACCCAAGCCAAAATGAAGAGGGAATTGGAAGCTTAATCCAATTTGAAACGACAGGAGAAAGCCTCACAAGCAGAATGAATAAAATGGAAAACAGAATATCAAGAATGGACAACAAAGTTGAAGAACTGGACCACTCAAGCAAAGAATATGAAAAAAATTTTAAAGCACAGGAATAGAATATGCAGTAAATGTGGGACACCATGAATAGACCAGACCTACACATTATAGACTTACAGGAAGGAGAAGAATCTCATGCCAATGGTATTGACCAGATCTTCAACAAGATTATAGAAGAAAACTTACCAAAATTGAGGAAAGGCACACCTATACAGATACAAGAAGTACACACAACAACAAACAGAACTGAAGCAGAAACTCCCCGTGGCATATCATAGTAAAAACACTAAATACACAGAACAAAGAGAGGAGACTGAAAGATGCTAGAGAAAAACAAGTTACATATAACAGAAAATCCATCAGAATTACAGCTGACTTTTCAGTACAAACTATGAAAATCAGAAGAGCCTGGACCAAAATCTTCCCAGTTCTAAATGATCATGGATGCCAACCAGGAAAAACGATCATAATGAAAGGGAAAAAAGTATTTTCCATGACACGAATAGGCTGAAAGAACTCATGTCCACCAAAATAGGCCTATAGTGAATATTCAAAGCAATACAAAGGATCCTGAAGATAGGAATGACTATACCGAAGAGGTTATGGAAAGAAAACAAAGGAAGGTATAATTATAAAAACACAAAATAGGACCAACAACACAAATTAAAGTGGCAGTAACCAATACATATCTTTCAATAATAACTTTAAATATCATTGACCTCCACTCCCAAGTCAAACACACAGGCTAAAGGAATAGATTAAGAAACAAAATCCACCTTTTTCTTATTTATTAGAAACTCATCTCACCTTCAACAGTAGGTAACGTTACCTTAGGGCAAAAGAACAGAAAAAAATATTCCAAGCAAATGGCACTAAGAAACAAGTAGGTGTTGCAATTCTAATTTCTAAAAAAAAATGGACTTCAAATTAAAAATAATTAGAAGAGATAAAGAAGGCCACTTCATTCTAATCAAAGGAACAATTGACCAAAGAGGTATTAAGATCATTAATACATATACACCAAACTCTGGTGCACCAAATTTCATAAAAACAGTAGTACAGGACATTAAAACATAAATTAAGCCCAACTCAGTAATAGCTGGTGACTTCAATACACAACTATTTAAAATAGACAGGTGAACTGGACAAAAAATAAACAGAGAGTCCTCTGAATTAAATGGTGCCATACATCAAATGAAACTAACAGATATCTACCAAATATCCCACCCAAGCACCAAAGAACATACTTTTTATTCAGCAGCCCATGGAAGTTTCTCTAAAATTGACCACATATTTGGGCACAAAACAAACTTCAACAAATACAAA